CCCATATTGACATGATCTTGCTATAGTCTAGTAGCTCCACTTGACCTAAAAGTGGAATCAGTACTATTTGGAATCCAATTCAATCAAATTCAATCTAATCCAATGCAATCTAATCCAATTGAATTTTGCTTCCGGCTAAAAGCTTCATTTTATCCTTTTTCTGACATTCTGAGTCACTCCTGTTGAGTACACTACAGGGCTATAGTGAGATTTGCCCATCCCCCAGTACCTTTCAATTAACTACTACAATTAATTATAGTGCAGAGGGGAATTATGACTGGTACACGATTAAAAGACTACACACATGCCAGCTGGAACCAATGAACTTTTGCACCACAAAAGATCCGCTACCCACTTTCAGAAGGTTCCTTGCCCACCCGAACAAAAAGAAAGAAACAAAAGAAACAAAGAACACAACAGTGATATGGAGTCCATCTTTACTTCGAATGACATTGTGGTAGTCAGCAAGACGTCTTGTCCTTATTGTAAGGCGGTCAAGGCTTTGCTGACAGAAGAATTGAACTTGACGCCCAAAATCTTGGAAGTCAATGTGGAAGGCCCCGCGGCCCTGGAGTACGCCAAGAGTATCACTGGAATCAGTACAGTCCCTCAAGTCTTTGTGGAGAACAAGTTTGTGGGCACTCATGACGACGTCATGTCTCTCGATGCCAAGGGCCAGTTGGAACCGTTGGTAAAAAAATTCATGAAGGGACCTCGCAAAGCCAAGACGGCTTCCAGTGGCACTAGTGGAACCCTGCTCTGGTTTCCCCCCAAAGTCAACAAATCGGCCATTCGGACCACCGGAGTGTTGAGTTGTGGGATTGCCTTGACATCGGCCGTCCTCATGTACCAAAATCCACAAGATCCCACGCCTGGCTATATTGCGGCAGGACTCTTTGGAGATTACACACTCCGCTTCATGGCCGGATCCAAATTCAGTCCAGTGGCTCAACTAGGAGGAATGCTAGCATCATCCATGGATGTGATTTTCCGTCCGGGAGCTCCCAAACAATTCGCCACGGTCTGTGGAATGATGTTTAGTGGCTTGGGAGCGGCCATGTTTTTGAATAACAGTGCCGAAATTGGATGTGGGTTCATGAGTGTCCTGGCACTTTGTGCTGGAATGGAAGGATTCCTAGACTTTTGTTTGGGCTGCAAATTCTATGCCATTGGAGAATTCCTCTTTGGGGGATCTGCAAAAGCTACCAAGACTGCCTAAAAGAAGAGATCTGTTTCTATTTGTTGTTTGTTTCATCATTGTGTTTGTTTGTGTCACCAGTATATACGCGGAAAGAAGACAGGAAAGAAGGAAAACCACAGGACCAGTATTATACCACCGAGCAACTCGGGAAAATGAGCTTTGGCTTGCTCATTTATTTGAACGAGATTGCAGACAAAGGAAAAAAAAAGAAATGGTGGCATGATTTTTTAAAAATTGATACAGTCAGGTAGTTTTTAGTAATGTATGTCTGTAGTTTTGGCTTGCCCGTTCGCATGATAATAACAACCACACTTAGGCTTTGGCAAACAACCATGCTGTGAATTGGCACAGACTCGATTCATTCGATTCATTCGATTCGCTGCAGACAGACCGTACCCGTAGCAAACCTAGCTAGCCTAGCTACGTAGCTACGAAAAATTCTTGAACGTCATGTAACAAAAATAAATGTTTACCCAGAGATCAAGAGAATTGATCCAACTTTATGTGTATGTTTGTATGTACCGGTATGTAGATGTGCATATATTTCTTGGGGAACCTTTGCTTTCAAAGCAACAGTAAAGATGAATCATTCGATTGAATCATTCGTCTTAGACGACTAGTGCGCTGCTCAGCACATCAGCTTGGTGCCGTTGGTTCGCTCGCAACCATGCACTGCCGCTTGCAACCGTTGGCTCTCCCGCAACCATGCCGCGGAGGCAAAGTCGTGAAACTTGGATGACGACATGCTCGTTTCCTCGGACTGGAACCCAGCACGACGCATGGCTTGTTGATAGCAGCTCCCGGACATTTTCATGTTTTCGGCAAACATGGCAAGCGCCCGTTGAAACCTTGGATCACTATTGACAGCGGGGTTGTTGTTCCCTACTAAGCCAGTCTTTGTTTCTTCTTGTTTTGCGACGTCGCTCTTGCCCTTGGACGCCCATACTTCGGAAGCCCCTTCCAAAAAGAAAAGAGGGTCGGTAGCAGCAGCCTTCTGATGTTCGAGATCCGACGGAGCCGAGACGCCTGGCTCTTGAAAACCCACGACGGAGCCATTCTTGGTGGACTGGATGGAACAATCGCCTCCGTTCGGATTGGGAACGTCGTTGGATTTGACGCTGGCGACCGGGGAGCTCTGAGGGAAACCTTGGCCAACAGCATTATTTGCTGGCATGAGCACTGTCAGGATCACCCACCGCGTGGAACTATTTGGTTGCTGTGGCGTATTCGTCATCTGAAGTGACCCTGCCAGTGGGTTCGATGCGGTCAAACTCGGCGCGTTCGCAGATGTCGTCTTCGTTGTGGCACTTACGCCTACTTTTTCTTGGTGCGAGAGAGGAACGACGGAGAGGGGGGGCAACGACTGGAAGTGCGTACTTTGAACAGGTTGCGACTCGGGCTTGTAGTTGTGACCAAGCGCGGGCTTTGTCTCTAGGGGCTGGCGACGGATGGTTGCTTCGGGCAGTGGCTGTAGTCCGTGTTGCTTGGCTTGGCGCAGACGTCGGCTCAACTGATTCTTTCTCTGCCGCAGACTCACCTGTTCAGCATCCAACGTGGGTCCAATGGCGTTCGAGGGATAGTCAAATCCACCCAGCCTCAAGGCCATCTCCAAGGAAAGTCGAGGATTCTGGTACTTGGCCTGGACTGCCCTGTTCATTCGATCGTCACCTCGCCAACGTTTTCCACTTTTGTCTGTACTGGTAGCAGCCATGGGGTGAGCTTCAGTGGGTGATGATCCGATCATGGTGGGTGATTGGGCTGTTCAGGGATGGTACTTGCGATGTCCCGTTCTGTCTGCTGTGTCTTTTTTTGTGCGGTCACATCAAGGCAAACATCATCAATCGAAAATCGAGAGGCTGTGGCTTTTTGGCTTCCACTTCCATCCAAGGAGCGAGCCACAACTCCTGTCATCACTGCGAGCTGCTTCCGCAAAACACCGGCATTTCCAAACTGGAACAGTGTATGGAACTCTAGAGCTACTTAAATAGCCAGTCAGCAACCGTACTATTTCAATGCCACCAGGGGGATGGGGATTCTAGTTTCACTTGCTACCATACCATCAGGCCATTAGGTAAGGTTTTCCACTTCCAACAAAAGTATTGCCACAGCTTTCAACCAACCTTCTTTCGATTGGTCCTGTTTTAACCCTCTTTTTCTTGACGTTGACTCTCTGCAAGAAAAGCACTGTTCAGGTCACAGTTTACCAAAGTTGAAATGCATTTTCCCAGTCTCCTGAATTCTCAACTCGAGACACCGATCCATGAGTAGACTAAATAAGACAGAAGTAGATAGTCATTTCTGAGTCGAATGTGTTCTTCACAGGGAAGTCAGGTGTACCGATCTTAATTATTTCAGTTTGTAGAATAAGGCTATTGTGATTAAAGTACAAGAAAGATCCCCCGCAGCTCGGGAGGGTTCGATTCGATTCCAATTCCGATGAGTGCACAAGTTTACACTGAAACCCTGCCCATTAGATATTAAAGAAGATCTTTCTATGCCAATAGAATTTCCTGGTTGTTGCATTGGTTCGAGCTGATTTGACTGCTACTGTAAGCATATATATATAGAGCTGCTACCGACACCGTACCGTACTCTCTGTCTGTCTAGCTAGCTAGCTAGCTAGCTGTCCCATTAAGAAGCTGCCGGATATAGGGGAGTTTAGAGTACGGTAGGGGAGTTATCTATTACCTAATAGTACAACGTGCAACACACGAACGAGAAAGAAAATGCCAAAACTCACCTGATTTTCAATGTTATCCTTCCAGACTGCAGCCAAGTTTCTACCCTACCTGTGCCTAAAGTTCTGTTTCAGGTATTCAGAAGGAGAGGGATTCTGATAGGCAAGCAGGCAAGAAAGAACCTGAGAGTCAATAATGTGGTACAGTGTACCAGGCACCTAGAGAGAATTCAATTTACTGGTACAATTTACTAGAATGTGATTTCTTATGAAAGGGTCTGGAGCTGGTTCTCCAGTACCGTATTGACAGAAAAGACGAAGTTCCAAACCAAATCCAACTGCTTTTTCAAAGGACGTCAGTGATGTCAACCATGACCACCTTTGTCAATGGTCGTTGACCTCGTGGCTGATTTGATCAAGGTGTCTCAGTCCAATACTGGTACCTCGATCGTGTTGTCACTACTGGAGCTCTTCCGGGCAGAGCTGAAAATAATGATGGATCAACAGTTCCATGTTTAACTATTTCGATGTTGGCATGTGCCCTTGACACCAATCATGTTCCGGTTGAAATGACTTCCCAATCCCGAGTTTTAGTTCTTGCGACTGACAAGTGATCCCCGTAACGACCAGATTGAGCGTTGTAAAACCGTATGTAGGTGGGTTTCTGAAATTTGGAGACAGGATGTTGGGGATGGGCAAATCTCGCTATCCCTGTAGTGTACTCAACAAGAGTGACTCAGAATGTCAGCAAAATGATAAAATGAAGATTTTAGCGGGAAGCAAGATTCAATTGGATTAAATTGCATTGGATTAGATTGAATTGGATTGAATTGGATTCCAAATAGTACTGTTATTTGTATAGTAAACTGGAATTCAATCCAATCCAATTCAATTCAATCCAATCCGATCTAATCCAATAGAAAAATTGCAGCCCAAAACATATATTCGCTTTTTCACAGACACTTTTACAAAAAACGCTATCAAATACAATGAAGGGCAATGGGCAAGTTTGCTCATCCCCGTTGAGGGGAGGATTAACTTGAGGTGTTTTTGAGGATTAATTTGAGGTGTCCGCTGAGCCGAGTAAGAGCGACAGTCGAGCAGACTGCTGACTGTGCTACTCGGCCGAAAAAGTCGAGAATTTTGAAAAATGTGATAACTCCTCAGAATGAGCAGTCAGGATTTTTGAATCAGTCGGATGGTTTGGGTTAGGGTGAAAGGAAAATTCTCAACTTGATCTTCAAATTTGTGTAGAAGCTGGTAGGTTTGAGAATTCTCAACCGAAACAACAAATTGCAGGGAATCGCCTGTTAAATCCAAGACTCTGCTTTTAAGGCAGTGTGATTTAAGTCGGAGTGTGCAATTTAAGTCGACTTGCTGAAATTACATAGTGACACTGAAATTGCACTAAGCCCCGTGTTAATAAGCGTGATACGTACTGAAATTACATAGGGTGACTGAAATTGCACCCTCTAAGTGACATTTCAGAGTGAGAGTGAGATTTAAGGACGTTTAATGCCAACCGGTTGTAGGGCAGACGCGTGTGAGTTCTCTGCACCAATAAATACCTCGTACCTCTTTGTTCTGCGCACCTCAAGCGCGAGTCATGGCTTGAGCAAAAGCAGCAGCAGCAACATCAGAACTCGCCAAAATGCATGCCAAAACATGCTCTTGTATCATCGCTGTGCTAGCTGTAGCTCTATTTCGAGCATCAGGAAGTGTTGTACTATCACAGAGGATGAAGGGGTACTTGGTAGCAACAGCTGGAATGGCGCAGTGATCGAGAACTGGTGAGGTCGCGAGATAATAGAGCTGCTGCTTCGGTATGCCGCATGCATGTTATAGACTGCACTCCAGCTGTTGCTAGGTACACCATCATTTAGAGTGATTGTATTAGATTGATTGATCTATCATGGTAAAGCGTCTAGCTTGATCACAGCATATGTTCTAGCAGCGTCTTTCCGCCATCTTGGTTGATCGATTTGCGATGAAATCACTCGATATTCCCGTGTTGTTATTCAGTCACGAAAATGTGGGATTCATTTGTCATTAAACGTCCTTAATAAAAGCGCAAGAAACTTCAAAGACTCAATTTGAGAGGCGTTAAACAAACAAATTGCTCTTTCGGTGAACGCCGGTTCAGAAACTTGATGTTCGATGGCTTTCTCATAAGCTGCTATGTCCAGGCCAACCATGGTATTCGATTCATTCCTTTGCTGTTTTCTCATTACTACGAGGTAGTAGCTAGACTTGCTTAGCCCACCCCTCAGCAGACGAAAGGTAGGCCCAATACATGTACCCGGAGCTACCGGTACACGGCTGCTAGCATTTTTCCGGTTCTCGCTCGTGGGCACTCGGTAGAGCTGGGAGTACAACTGTTTTCCCAAGCAACAGTCTACTAGAATCTAATTGGTGCCTGCAAACCTCCGCCAGCTCCCCCACAGCCACCCGGCCCCATGCTTGGCCCTCACCAGGATGGTCACAGCTTGCTCTGCATTCTGAATAATACGTAGTACTACCACAAGTCTACCGGTACCGGTACCTTCCAAGAAAAGTGCATTTAAAAGGCTCACCTCTCCAAACCACCACTTGCCGACAATGAGGGGTACTGTGCTGCTGTCCTCCAAGATGGGATCATACTACAATTCTTCATTGTGGATCCCTTTGCTGGCCGCCCTTGGTCCATTTCCACAGATTTCTCTCCACCTCCCACTCTCCCCGCGTGCACATTTATTTGCTTCCTCAGCACTTTTCCCTGCTCCAACTGGTCTCTTTCTACACCTGGTGTCTCTTGCCTCCGAATCACCTGCTAGTGCTGTCAGGTCAAAGAGGAGGCTGGTAACTATGAAAGTATTCGGCATTACATATGGCATACCTGGTACCTCCGGTAGCAACCAACTGCAGACTCGATTTGGAGCTAATATTACTCGCCCATTTATATTGACTTGTATCATCTTGAAACTTTGGTCGCTACAATGCACCCATGTTCGCCGGGTTTTGGGCCCAACAAGCTGTGAGTTTTTGCCAGCTTTACCAACTCAATGATGAAGGTTTCATTGCAAAGAAACGTCGTACCTCTTTGTTTCCGACAGTGATAGACCACTTCGAGAACTGGCTTTTGTGTTCTCAGCATCATTTCCGCAGCAACGACAACTCCAGATCGGTTGGCCCCCGCTTGGCAATGAACCAGGCATTTCCCACCCATTTCGCGGCAGCTGTCAATGAACGACCGACATTCTTCTAGGTGAAGCTCCAGCATTGCATAATCCTTCCGATCTGCCGCGCCGATTGTTTTGTATATGAAGTCATTGCTCTGGTTGCCTTCCAAATTTGTTGCTTGCCGTCCTGCAACGTTCAGGATGTGGGTGATACCCAACGACTTTAGTCTCTGTTGGTTCAATAAGCTTGTCGCACCGGATAGAAACAAATCGTCCAATATTGGCACGGGAGGGTTTCGTTGGACTTGTAGAATGGCTTGACGCTCATCCTCATCTTGAATATGCTGCCTCCAGTCCAGATACTGGGTCCTTCGGATAGCCTCCACGTAATCCTGAAGGTCATCTTGGTTGTTTCCATTTGTGTTCTGAGAACGGGGTGAGGAGGACAAACAAGGACCCATTGGGGTACAAAGTACTTCGACGTACTAGTACTGCCAGTGTTCCAGTGCCCGGAAGCCGGAAGCCCGTGGGTTGTGGCTTACGGGAAGTTTAATAATAATAATAAATAAATAAATACTATAAAGGGAAGTACCTGAAAGGAATGTCACTAGGTAACGTCCGCTTGTAGAAAGTGCGGGAAGAATCCAGGGGTTCTGGACGTGACATAGGTATATGGGCCGGCAAGTACTGAGGATGGAGATGAGCCAGAGAAATACAGGGATCTGGCTTGATGTGTAATGGCGCGTTGAAAATGTTGGGCCAAGTGTGTAGAAATATTGAGGGCGAGTGATTGGTGTGCCCAGCGTGACGGTGTGTAGGGCTGGGTGTCGATGGAGTACATGTAGTTGGTGGTAATTTCGAAGTGTTTATCTGTGGTAGGGAGGATGGCGGTTGGGGCTGAAAGGAGGTTAGTGTAGGATAGTTGGGAGTGGGGTGGGAGTTTGTCAAACCACGGGGGTGCTGGGAGAGGGAAGGGTTGGTGACAGGAACCGTAGAGGAGAGCTTGGGCAAAGGGGCCAAGTCCAAGGAATGGATCAACGGTAAAGGGAAGAAGGATGACACCTGCGCTTTGGAGAGCTGTGAAATAGTGAGCACGGACACTGCCGCACGGTGCGAGATTTTTTTGTGAGCTTACTTCGGATCAACTTGAGATGGGCCTGGGAAAGGGTTTTTGGTTGATGGGCAGGCCGGGCACAAGAGGATTCGGGAGGGCTGGTAACAGTAATATCAATTGCAATGAAGGAGGATGGAGTGGTAGGAAGAGGTCGAAGGCATGCATGAAGATTTGAGGGAGATACCAACATCAGCAGGGCGTTGGTTGGGGTAGCCTTGGGTGTCTAGCAGGGCTTGGATTTCGCAGGTGACACAGTCCTTGGATGGAGTGATGCCAACAAGGGGAGCAAGGTCGGTGAGTACATGGTACAAAGTATCACGGATGCCATCACTTAGCCGCTTCTTGCTGTAGTGGGTGCATTGAAGGAAGTGGTCTCCGTAGGGGTCCAAGAGGTTGCGTTTGCAATGATGGCAGGGTTGGTTGGAGATCGCTGAAGGGAGGATGGGTAGGTGGAGCTTGCGTTGGTAGAGGAGCTGGAAGACGTCATTAGGGAGTCTGTTGTGAGGGAACCGACGGTTGTAGGAGCGGAGGGGGATACCACAAACCAAATAGCAATAATATTGCATATTGTTAACAGAGCTTCCGTGCCGTAGCTAGCTAGTAGCTACTAGCACCAGTAGCGATCATTGAAGGCTATTGTACCTGGTATTGCTCAAGGCCGACAGCAATTACACTTCGTTGCGTCGTCCAACTCCGATTCGACGGTCTTGTTTGTGTGTGGCGCTGGTTAGAGCCTCCTGGAGTACCGTAGATCTAGTAGACTTAGCCTGACAGCTCTAGCTTCTAGCTAGCCAGAGAGTATTGCTTCAAATCTACCAAAAAAAAACAGAATAAGGATACTAGAGTGATCTGGGCTTTAAGACCGACCGTTTCGCGCAATATTCTCTTCAGAGGTGGATATCGAATATAGTACTTTTAAGGGGTGGAATCGATAGAGCACATGTTGCTGAGTAAGCCAAAAAATTCCCAACTCCATGTGACACATATTGAAGGAGTTATGGGCAGTTGAAGATTTCGCCCAATCCCTGGGGAATTCTTTTCCTCTGCTTTATAAGACCGAATGACGTCACATGTAGCCTCTAGTACTGAGTCTACGTAGGAACCGACGTGACGTCACACGTAGCCTCTAGTACTCACCATACCAGCACCTCCACAGTCGTGAAGCACCTCTATTGAAGCCCATGGGAAGCACCTCTACGGGTACGACAGTAGAGGTATCCTATCCCAGCACCTCTACTGGTATCGAGTATCGAAGCACCTCTATGGACTATGGACTACATGTACATGTACATGTATCGTAGTACGGGTACCGTACTAGGCAGGTCTTACTGTAGTAGTACTATAGCAATTACTGTACAATCCCAAGAATATTACGTGGGCCTTAATGCACTGCAGGTCTTAATACCCAGATCACTCTAGTATGCGATGTGCATTATGTGAAACTTATAATTGACTGATTTTAAGATTGCAGCCGTTGTCTTCTCCATCCAATCGACTTCCCACATGCAAGCAAACAACATCTCTCAGTTTGCCTTGCTTTCTGTAAATGATATAGCAATAGAAACACGCACTTTGCAAAGCTGCATGTAGTTTGATCCATGAATCTCCTCTCCATTGAGGTCGTTTCATGTGACCTCACCTGACTGAAGGGAGCAAGGAGCTCCGCCCGCGGTCTCTTGCCTATACAGCAGTATTCTTCTCACTGCTGGGGTAAGTGACAGATTGCTCGCTGCCTTCGTCGTCTTTTGCCATTTCCCCACTCTCCTCTGCCGTCTCCACACCAACAGACGACGCCACCGATGTCGCCGCCGCATTGTCGTTGGAAGTCGCATTGGTCGACGATCTGTGGAGGGTTTCTTGCAACCTCGTGCACTCCCGTCGCCAACACTCAAAGGCGAACTGTTGGTACGGCAACGACGTTTCTTGAGAGTCTCCTATGGAAAAGCCCGCCCCCAGCATGGCTCCTTCGTAAAGCCGCCGAATGTCGCGGTCAAACGTCTGCAACGCCGCGTTCAATCGTTGGTCCAACACGGAGTTGCTGTTGACGTGGCTGGTACCGGCAGCAGCAGGCAGTGATGCAGTAGCAGACAGCACGTTTGCTGTTGGAGCCTGCTGCTGAGTGATGTTTGGTGGCTGACTGCTGTTGTGCCATAGCTGTTGCTGGCCTGCGCTACTAGCGACAGCCTCCACATCACTAGAGTTGGCACTGCTTGGGTGTGAGCTGAGCGTGCTTTGGAGACTTGACACGGTCGTGCCGGCAACATTGTAACTTCCCACGTTGGAGGAGGTTCCAATGGCGGCAGGTGATGAGAGGTGTTGCTGCTGGGTCGCATCTTGCGCCAGAGGGAGGTAAAGGATGACCTGATTCATGTTTGCGCTGCTGCCGTTGTTGTTGGCCATGGGAACTGGCTGAGGCTGTGCAGTCGTTGCCACGGCAACTTGTTGCTGTTGTTGTGGCTGCAGGATGATTTGACTCAAGATAGACTGTAGCTGCTGTTGCAATGGCGCTGAAACGTTTTGCTGAGGACTTTGTGGCTGCACTGTGATGCTGGATTGCTGAGGAAGCTGTGACAGCAAAGCTTGCAGTTGGTTTGGCGGAACTGTCATGTTGGCTTGTTGGGGAGCTTGCCGGAGGATCGTTTGTATGTCCGGCAACGGATCTTGCGTTTGCTGTGAGGACTGCTGTTGTACTTGCTGACTTTGCATCAAGTTGTTGGTCAGTTGTTGCAGCAGGTCTGAAGCTGGGTTTGAGTTTGGCGTTGGTTGCTGCGGCTGCGGCTGTTGCTGTTGCCCCACCAAGTGAGGCGGTGGCGCTTGCTGCAGCGACTGCATATGCAGGATTTGCGGCGCTTGACTTGGGTTCGCTGAAGGCGAAGTTGCATTTGTGTGGTTCCCGGCATTGGTGTAGTTGTAGTTGACAGGATTCGGAGCGTTGTTGTCTAAGGAGGAGAGAAGAACCGCATGGTAAGAGGCGAGGGATTGCTCAAGTGTGGCATCCACAACGAAGCTGGGATGAGTAGTACTACCTCCTGAAGAAGCCGCAGCTGCTCTCTTTCTGTCCTGCTGGGCTCCTGGAGCTGCGGAGGATGAGGACAAAGCCGACGGAGGTCGCTTTCGACTGCCGGGCAGGGGGTCTTGAGGACCAGGGCGCCACCCGTTCAGATTGCTTCCCATCGCAGCAGCCCCCATCCCAAGGGCAGCACCGGCACAGGAAGCAGAAGGGAGGCCGCTGCAAGTCATAGGAGCTGCAGTACGTGTATCCAGAGAAGACAGAAACGATAAGACTGCAGAAGAGCTTGTACCAGGACTTGACTCCGCAATCAACTCATGAGAGATCGACTTACGAGATTTCATGGCGCCCGTTTGTGTTTGCGCTGCGGACCTCCGTTCCAAAGCCGCCGCTCGGGCAAGCCTAGCTTGTCGCAATCTACGATTGAGTTGGTTCTTTCTCTGGCCCAGGGCCACATTCTCGCTATCCACAACCGATGCGGTCGCCCTGGGAGGATACTCAAACCCTCCCATTCTGAGAGCATCGGAGAGAGATACATTGGGATTGTTCAGCCTGATCTCCACAGCTCTGTTCATGCGAGGGTCTCCCCTCACTTCGGACGCATCGGGCGCATCGGGAGCATCTTGAACAGGCCCTTGGTCCCCCTGGTCCCCCTCATTGTTGTGGTTACCTGTTTGTCGGTTCTGCTCCATTTTGAGGCTTTGCTTATTTGAGGCTCTGGCTGGTAGGTAAAGGTGCATGAGGATCGAAAGATGGGTGGTGGAATTGAGAATGCGAGGCTAATCCAGACAGTGGAGTACACTTGTGTACTGTGACGATGCGCTGTTTGTGCAGGCCTTGTCGCAATATGGCATGTGTTTTTCTGTGTTGGATCGCAGTATTGCAGCACGATTGATTGATTCGATTGATCATTGTTGATGGAACCCAGGACATAGAAGCTGCGCATTAGTTGTTGTCGTGGTAGCTTTGCGATGAGGCCCCTGCCCCTACTACCGCTACTGCTCAACTCGTTCTGAAAAGCTTGTGGCTGTGAATTACTGTACTCAGTATCTGGTACTTTATTAGTAATCTGTGCAGCATGTAAAAGACGGCCTGGCTTGCCTGCTCCACAGTTAGTATTCCTCGCACGGAAGCCTCATGACGTTGTTCACCACTTGGGTACTCGAATCGAATCGGTGCAGCTCAGAGATGCTACTGCCGTTAGTAGCCAGCGAGGCAGGGACACGGTACTGCTCCATGATTGTAACCAGTTCATCATGTAGATGCGGTAAACCTCTTTTATTCCGCAAGTATTCATAGCAAATTACGTAATTCCTTAACCCTATATTTACCTTAACTACCTTTTCAAAGTCTCCCAAGCAGGAGCCGACCTTCATTCAATTCCTTCACATGAGTTTTTTTCTTGAAAGTGTACAGAATTGTCATTGATTCTGGATTTCAACTTCCCATGGTACCGTAACACGACAACAGCTGTCGAATGTCACATAACGTCTGTAGTACGTCTCAACACTATGCAATACGTCGGCTTCCGCCCAACGAAGGAGGCCTTATTCTCCAAAGGTGATATTGAGGCTTCTGCTTCTTCTTTTATCGGAAGTGTCTTCTTGAATCGGGATCCACAATCATCTGGAGTGCTCCATTTGATGAAACCTGTCGCCTGAAGAACAGGCTATTGCTTGTGGTTGGTGTACCGTATTGTTGAAAGGTTGTGGAATGTTATGGCTGTGTCGTTCTTGGTGATGTCTCGATTGCGGCAACAGCCACATTGGTGCCAAGACTGCGTTACGGTATACCGGTATTTTCTCATGAATACCGTCGGTATTTCGACCAAGAACGTTGTCGAGCAGCCGCACGCCAAAGAAGACAAACGATCCCGATCCCTATCCATCCACGCTGACCGGCGTGGAAACCTGAACCCTCATGGGTTCTTCGATGAATGACTCGACTCACAGTTGCCA